GGCACGCTTTGGCTCCGTGCGTCACAGTTCCTGCACTGCTTGCAGCTGCCTCCAAAGTGGCCGGTCGTGAAGTCTCTCTGCGCCGTGATGATTGGGCAAGGGCAGCAAGGGTGCGAGCAAGGGCCGGACACGTTGTGCACCTGGTGAGCACAAGGTGGCAACCAGCAAAGCAGCCTGCGTACGTGCCTTGAAGCTGAAGCTCTGTCCAAACAGGAAGTGGGCCCTCGGTGTGCCTCGCTGCCAGAAGCAACGACACTGCATTGCAAACCATTGAGGATCTTGCACCCAGGACCGAGGGAAACAGCCCGCTAGCCGAACTGCCTCCATGTGGCCTGCCCGTCCTTCCAGTCTGACGAGCTGCCGAAACCAGCAACTCTGCATCCCAAGCCCCCTCGAACCCTTCGGAACGTTGCCACACCCCCAACATCCCGTAAAAGCTTCATCCCGACACCAAAACCTGTTGAACGCAGAACCTCCTGCGGGTTCGTTGTTCGGGGCTCTGCATCTCGTCAAGGGCCGAAGCTTCCTCGCCAAGTCTCTGCCATCGTGACGCCCAGAAGTCTCGAGGGCATCATTTCAGCTGCGCAAGCCTTGGCAAGTGGTGGCAGGCCAGCTGTCACCCGGCCCGCTGCAAGCCTTGCTTGTGCCACTGCCATCTCCAGATGCCGCATGAGCGAACCCCACTTTTGCTTTCCGACTGCCTGCCCACTTGCCTATCTTGTGGTGCGTGCGGGTTTGGCATGTTGGGAGGGTGCCGACTGCTTACCGACGAGGGAAGGCGGGAGGGGTGCTTCAATTGGCACGAGTCTGCTCCTGGACATCATCTCGGAAAGGAGTGCAGGCGCTACCTGTGCATATTTTGCGTCTGCGAAGATGATGCCGTGTTTTGTGACGGCGCGAGGCTCCAGTTTGCCAGAAGCAGTGTAAAAAGCAGCTTCAGGTGATGGCGAAACGGGACGCTTGTTGATCCGATTTTGACACAAGTACCTCGCTTCTCCGGGTGCGACAACGGATACCGAAGCCCATGCCTTAGGATGAGTTATCTAATGTCTACTCTGGACTGAAATGTCAGCGCCAGCGGCCTGTGCTGGCCCTTGCATTTTATCGTGTGGATGGCTGACACTGATGTCATCTGTGTTGCATTGCCGCCACTGCTAGACATGGTGGATGGATGTTATCCACTGTGATTCACGGACCAAGCTAGGAATGGCAAGACGACGGCCAAGAGAAATAGCCTAGCAAGGACACTCGATCTGCTCCAAGATCTCACAGGCCATCCAAGTTCTGTCTTTTGGCGGACCTCGTGAGATACAACGACATGTGATTCCCACTAGGCTCGCCGCCTCCAGCAGCACGGCGTGCCTCAGGTGTCCCTGCAGTTGGCCGCCTGAATGTATCAGCCAGGCGAGACGTTGTGCGGTTTGTGTGGAGAACGGTTTGCAACGTGTACATCGCGAGCCATGCCTGATTCGAGGCTCCTTCTTCTCAGAACTGCTGTGCACTCCTTGCGCTCTGCTGCCTTTGCTCACAGCGGTCCACCCGCTCTCTAGGACCGAGCGTCACACCTGAGAAGCGAACTGGGTGCACGGATGCGGAAGGTTTTCTCTCCTCCCTCCAAAACCTGCTGCAAGGTGACGCGCGCAGCCCCATAGAAGCCAGAACTCTGGCAAAGCTGTTTGCAGAAGCGTAAGCAGTCGTGCAGGCCACTGGGCCGCGAGCCGCCGTAATGTAGCCGTGCGACAGCTGTGTAGTGCAGCGGTGCAGTTGGCAAAGCACCGGCCTTGCATGCCATGTTTTCGGGCTCCAGCAGATGCGAGGCATTTTGCCTGCCAGGCTCAGGCTCGCTTCGCTTTCCACACCACCAGGCTCATGGAGACTGGGTGCAGCTATCCACAAACAAGCATGCCTGCAGTCGATGGCCTGCTCCGCGATCTAGTCCTTGAGCGTAAGGTTGCCTGTCGACTTGTCTTCCCCCAAGAGCCTGAGAGAAGAACTCGGTGCTGGGACTTGAAATGCTCGAGCTGGCCGTGACATGTGTGATCGTGTGAGGAATGCAGTGGAAGTTTGTCGGGTGCGAGAGGCACGAGAGTCACGGAACCCTCGCCAATTTGAGAAGATTTCCAAGACCAGATGCATGCAGAAGCTGCCGCAAGGCTGTTCCAACCGAGAACTTTGCCTTCGTTCCCAAGGCCACTGGATTCCAAATTGTTCCGAAAAGAGCTTGCGAAAGGCGTGCATGCCAGCGGCAAAGCTACTCGCTGATCTGGCTGGCTGACTGGTCTCTTTGTGGGCCTCCCCGAACGCTGTGAAGGCAGACCCACACCTAAGCCTGCATAAAATGGCTTATTCCCAAGTTGAGACTTGGTCCGTCCTGTGCAGTTTGTCCCAGTTAGTGCCGAGCTGCCAAGCGGCTCGCATGCCCAAATGCAGCTCGGCTTGTGAGGCTTGTGAACTTGGACGTTCGTTCCTGCCCTCTACTTAGTGCTGGTACTAACAGTCTAGGTTCGCGCCTGAAAAGTCACAAGTGCCGACAGAAGGCCTGAGACACAACTCCTGCAGCATAAGGAGGTAACCTGCTTGCAGAGCACGTCATGGGGGCTGGAGACCAAGACAGGCCAAAATTAACGTCCGTATTGTAGGAAGCAGCAGCTGGCCTTCTGAGTGGCACTGACTTTTATGTTCTGCGCAGTCGCTGTTGTCTCGGCCGGGAACCTCAACTAGGACGAGCACCTCAACAAAGCCTGACGACAGTGTCCTTGTGGCCTTAACTTTATTGTTTCCAGGGAGTGTTCTGCAACTTCGTCGTTGGGCTAACGTAAGAGAGCCGGTGTCTGTGGGCTGACCGTGTATTCGTGGCACTAACTTTATTGTTGCATACATCGCTGTTGTTTTCGACGGTCTGGCCGATCAGGGATCAGTGATGCAGCACAGTCGACATACCTTGAGCTCTTGCCCCTGCCGACTGAGAGAGTAATGCGTTCCGGACGGTCTCATAGTCACAGGGGCTGTGTATTGCGGTGTCTATGTGTTGGTAGTGCCCTTTGCTTTCAGTCGGCCTTGAAGGGATTTGAGTGCTGTGCTGTCCCTTCACAACCTCTACCGACGTGTGACCTGCCATGCAGTCTTCGGACGAGCCAAGTGGGAGCCAAAAAGCAGCTGGCCTGCTTGCTCGGCTGCGTGTCGAAGCGACACGCACCTGATCGGATCTGCCACAGTCATAGTCGCTTGCAGTAAGGTCCCGGACCAATGGCCTGGCGTGTCGAGACGGCATTAGTGCGGCTAGGTTCGCATCCTAGGATTACGCCACGTGACAAGCAGCGGCTGGATCATCGGCTGCAGTCCGAATGTTGACAGAAGGCCGGAGACATGTTTCCCCAAGTATACAGCGTGACGCAACCGCGGTACACATGTTCGTCTTTCTCCGGTCGTCTCTCTCAAGGCCCGGATGGCAGCGACACACGCACCTAATACAGGCTCAACGGCATCAGCTTTTCCATTCCAGCCGCCTGCCGGTAGGCCGGACTAAGGGCCTACCCAGCGTGTCAAGACAGCATAAGCTCGGCCGGGTTCGAGTCCTGCTGAGAAGCAGGTTAGCTGGTTGTGGAGGTACACACCTGATCGGGTCTGAGCGGTAGTTACTTTCAATGTTGATTCGCGTGCACTAGGGCGAGTAGGGTCCACACCAGGGTCCTGCCCAGCGTGTCCAGTCATCATATCATGAGAGCGACTAGACTCGAGCCCTAGGATTACACCATGTTCGCGGAGAAGCAGGCTAGCTGTTTGTGTGTCTCCTTCCCGCCATGCTTCCGGCATCATCGGCTACAGGCCGAATGCCGAGAGAAGGGTGCCAAGACAACACCTCGGGCTTTATGAGCTGCAGTCCGAATGCTAAGATAAGACTGGAGACACAGCGCCGCGAGCATGAGGAGGTAAGATGCCGGCAGTGCACGTCCGGAGCTGCAGGCTATAGCAAAACCGAGGTCGTACATGTAATCAGCAGACTGCCTCTTTGCTGCGGTGCTTGCATTTCTTCGATTCTGTGGTTTTCAAGGCCCGGATGGCAGCGCCACACACCTGATCGGGTCTGAGCGGTAGTTACTTTGAATTTTGATTCGCGTGCACTAGGGCGAGTCGGGTCCAGACCAGGGTTCTGCCCAGCGTGTCCAGTCATCATATCATGAGCGCGACTAGACTCGAGCCCTAGGATTACACCATGTTCGCGGAGAAGCAGGCTAGCTGTTTTTGTGTCTCCTTCCCGCCATGCTTCCGGCATCATCGGCTACAGGCCGAATGCCGAGAGAAGGGTGCAAAGACAACACCTCGGGCTTTATGAGGCGGTCACCCACCCGGAGCATACATGCTCTGCTGTCTTCGGTGCCTGCTTGGCTTCTCGTCGTCTCCCGTCTCTTTCAAGGCCCGGATGGCAGCGACACACAGCTGATCGAATTTGCACACGCTTTTCTCTTGCAGTCGTTTGCCGTAGCGTCCGAACCAAGGGCTTGCCCCGCCTGTCCACGCAGCATGAGCGCGGCAGTCCTAGGATTACGCCTTGTTGGCGGAGAAGCATGCCAGCTCTTCGTGTGCTGCGCTGCCGCCCAACTGCCGGGATCATCAGCTGCAGTCCGAATGCTAAGATAAGACTGGAGATACAGCTCCACGAGCATGAGGAGGTAAGATGCCGGCAGTGCACGTCCGGAGCTGCAGGAATCGCAAAACCGAGGTCGTACATGTAATCAGCAGACTGCTTGTTTGCTGCGGTGCTTGCCTTTCTTCGATTCTGTGGTTTTCAAGGCCCGGATGGCAGCGCCACACACCTGATCGGGTCTGAGCGGTAGTTACTTTGAATTTTGATTCGCGTGCACTAGGGCGAGTCGGGTCCAGACCAGGGTTCTGCCCAGCGTGTCCAGTCATCATATCATGAGCGCGACTAGACTCGAGCCCTAGGATTACACCATGTTCGCGGAGAAGCAGGCTAGCTGTTTTTGTGTCTCCTTCCCGCCATGCTTCCGGCATCATCGGCTACAGGCCGAATGCCGAGAGAAGAGTGCAGAGACAACACCTCGGTCTTCATGAGGCGGTCACGCACCCGCAGCACACATGCTCTGCTTTCCTCGGTGCCGGCTTGGCTTCTCGTCGTCTCCCGTCTCTTTCAAGGCCCGGATGGCAGCGACACACAGCTGATCGAATTTGCACACGCTTTTCTCTTGCAGTCGTTTGCCGTAGCGTCCGAACCAAGGGCTTGCCCCGCCTGTCCACGCAGCATGAGCGCGGCAGTCCTAGGATTACGCCTTGTTGGCGGAGAAGCATGCCAGCTCTTCGTGTGCTGCGCTGCCGCCCAACTGCCGGGATCATCAGCAGCAGTCCGAATGCTAAGATAAGACTGGAGATACAGCTCCACGAGCATGAGGAGGTAAGATGCCGGCAGTGCACGTCCGGAGCTGCAGGAATCGCAAAACCGAGGTCGTACATGTAATCCGCAGACTGCCTGTCTGCTGCGGTGTTACGTGTCTCGTTCCTGCCATGCTTCCATCTGCTGCGGTCAGAATGTTGAGAGACGACTTGCGGCATACCTTCCGCAGTACACGGAGGTGACGCACCGGCAGTGTTCTGCCTGCCTGTTCCGGTGGGTGCCTGGCTTCGCTTCTTCTTCCGTCCGTTTCAGTCCGAGCAGTAGTTGCTTTTCTGTTCCATTCGCTTGCATTTTTGGTCCCAGCTCCTGCCCAGCGCATCCAGACAGCATGAGTGTGAATAGCTTCGAGGTTCCAAGTTCGAAGGGAAGGCAAGCTCGCAGCACGTCCCACCCTGTCGCGCTTCAGGGATCTTCGGTCACAGGCTGAATGTCGAGAAAAGACCGGCGACATGTCTCCTTCGCATAAGCAGCTAACGAGCCTGGAGTGCAGGCCCAGTGTGTCTAGACAGCATCAGTGCGACGAGGTTCTTGCCGTAAAACTTAGGATAGCTCGTGGCGAAGCAGGCCGGTTCGTTGTGTGTTTCGTTACCGCTGCCGATTCGGCAACAGTCCGAATGATGAGAGAAGGTGCAACGACCAGCAGACGGTGGTGACATACCCACAGCGCACATCAGGAGCTGCTCACTGCCACCAAGGCCCAGGGAGACTGTGCAATCTTTGGAATGCTTCGAGCCCACATCCCGATGCCGAGCAGCTGAGCTGCAGCCGTGATGTGCTGTTCCTGCTGACATCGCAGAGGTTTTTCCTTGGAGGCACCTGCTGGGAGGACGGCTTTGCGGTTATGGTTCGGGACAGTGAAGCTACGCAGGAAGCCGTCGTATTTGCATGCCTGTAGTCCTGCACTTGTTCTGCGCAGTCCAACGCAATCCTTGCCAGGGTCGATAAGTTGTGTGTGCCGAAGATCAGCGAACCTTTGCTGATGCCATCGCCTCCCCATACCTGCGGCTTTTGTCCTGCCATTGCAACCTCAACACCGGTGGTCGGCAACCTGCCAAACACCAGCTCTAGCAGACTGCAGCAGTCGAGGCTCCCCTTCTTCTCAAGGTTAAACTCGAGTGGTGGGCTTGTAAACTCCGCGGAGGTCAGCTTGCGTCAGTTGTCTAGATGTCAGACGGCGCACGGCTGGCACCGGTCGAATTCCGTTGATCATGGCCTGGCTTGTCCTGCGTTGTAAGTGCGGAGATTGATCCCACCGAATGACGCTTTTGACTGCAGTGTCGGCCAACATCCAGGGAGGTACGGCTACTGGAGCAGGCCTCGCCGCAGGGTCCTGGTAGGGAGTGAGGTGTACGCAAGATTGTCGGATTGGCACCGGACACGTGTGCTGTGTGCCTGAAGCTGGATGTTGAGGAGCAAAGGCAGCTGACGCAAAGGGCCAGGCTCAAACTGGTTCGTCCTGATCCTGGCTCATGAAGCCTGGGTGCAAGGGTCTATAGGATTAAGGGTGCAGGGGCTTCTTGCCATCAGGGGTAGTAGATGGCTTAGAGGATTTAGAGTGATTGTGGTCAAGTGTTCATCCTGGCGGAGTCGCAGCGGGCCAGTTGCAAAAGGGCTTCCAGTACTGAGGGTGTAGCATGTCGGGATTTGGGATGACCGGCGTGTATCGTGTCGGCTCCTAGGTTGCTTCTGAAGGGCCGTGTCGTTCCGGTCGGTTCAGGCCATTCTTGCAAATCCTGCTCCTGTGGAAGTCGCAGATCTTTGCGCGACTCCACGTAGGTCTTTCCTGAACCTAAGTGTAGCGGCGCATTACGTCTCTGTTTAGGGCCTTCGGGTCCTGTGGGTACAGCTTTTGTGCAGCAGCATCTTGGTAGGAGAAGCTGTGAGATTCTCGGTTGTCCTTGAAGGGTCTTGTCGTTCTGGGCGGTTCGGACATTTCTTGCAGATCCTGTTCGCGTCGGCGACTCCGCGCAGGTCTTCCTGAGCCGAAGTGAAGCCGCGCATCACTCGTCACCTCGCCATGGTGACGCTATCCAGGGTGAGACTCGCACACGGGGCTGCGCGCGTCGACATGAGGTTGTTGCCAGGGCAGCGGCTTGCAGCCTCTCGGCCTGAAGACTTGGGGTTCTTTCCGAGGGAGCGTCTTGCAGTGGCCACCGGTGGCTACGAAAACGCTGGGGCCTGAATCACTCTAGCTTTTGTGCAGCGTCTTGCTCGGGCAGGTTGTATCGTCTCGGATCCTGCGTTGTCCCTGCAAGGCCTTGTCGATCTGGTTGGTTCAGACCTTTCTTGCAGATCCAGTGCCCGTGGCAGTCGCGGATCTTCGCGCGAGTCCATGCGGTTCTTCCTGAGCGTAAGTGAAGCGGTGCACGACGTCTCCGTTAAGGGCCGTACGGTCCTTGGGATCCTAGGTTGTCCTTGAAGGACCGTGTCGTTCTGGTTGGTGCAGCCCATGTTTGCAGATCCTGTTCCTGTGGTAACCTTCGTGAAGCTCATGTCTCTGGCAGGAAAGGGAGCTTGATGGAGCTTGTCATGCTTTCCTCGCATTCTGCTCGCTTCCGTACGACGCCTTTACCGTGGTCGTGCTAGTTGTTGCAAGTCGCACCGGGCTCGGGATGTTCCTGCGACCCGATGCGACCGTGAAGCAGCAGAGACGCATCGGAAAACATTCAGACTGCACGATGTCAGGTGCGTGTGCTTCTACGTCCACAGCACATGACGGACGGATGGAGAAGCGTTCGCCAAATGCTTCCCGCTTGCGCTCAATCGCTTCAAGACCGTTCGATTCGCCCTGTGCTGCGCTTCGAGTGCACTTCGCGGAGGTTGAGGGCGGCTACAAGCTTCGCCATCGTTTGAGCGGCCAGCACCGGCCAGCTACTGTAGGGGTGGCAGCCGGTCACGCCAAGTAACACCCCCATGCCTCGAGTCGTTGTCCGATGTGAGCTGCTGGCTGCCAGCTGCACGACCGCACGGCCGGCTTACGAAATACCATCTCATTACTTCTACAGCCTGCTGGGACCCGCGACGGCAGAAGTCCGGAAGCACTTGCCTTGATACCAGTAGGCAGGGCGGGACTTGTAGGATCTCATCCTGGCAGCCTGGTTTCCCTGCGCCTGCAGCTCCATGCCTCCTTTTTCGGCAAGCCCCATGCTGCGATCATGGCGTGAGGCATGCAGGCTTCCCGAGTGTTCTCCGTGCCACCGAGCGGTTCAATTCGGCAGATGCTGCAGATGCTGCTCTGGTGCTTTGCGAACCATGCTGTCACCGTCAAGTCCTGACGGTAAGTCCATGAAGCGCTCTTGGACTCTGGGCCAGAACCGGACGGGCCATTGCAGGTGCTCTCGCCCGGCGGCTACTTTGGCGTGGTCTTTTGACATCGGGGTCAGCACGGAGCAGGCACGGGGTGCTACTTGCAAACATGTTGCTGTTGTTCCCCTTTGGTGAAAAGTCGGGCAATGTCAGGCATTCGTGGAAGTGGCACTCTGCAGGTCTCATAGGTTTCTATCGAGCTTGGAGCCAGGGCTCTATGCGCCAGACTTAGACTGGCCTTGTCTGCAGGCCTGGGACATCCGAAGATCCCTGCACCTGACGAGGCCTCGGTGCTGCGAGGGTTTCAAAGCAGGGGCCCGGGAGCCCTGGGTACTTCAGTTGCTTCGGATTCGTGAGTCGTGTCTTCACAGTGACTCAATAAACCGAAACCCGAAACAAGGGAGCTGTGCTATCAGGACGGTGACCAACGGACCTTGTTTTTGGGTTCGTGCAGCAAGGGCGCACAATATCGTTAGCATCAATCAGTAATACCCGGGACTCTTTAAAGGCAGTGAGCGTGTTCGTGACTGCTCACCTTGCTTCCTGCAGGCCGTGGTGCATCCAGACCCGGACGGCTGCGTTGTTGAATCAGCGGGCGAAGAAAGTGCAGAGCTCCTCCATTTCCAATGTTGGCAGTACTTCTCCCTGCTTCCGCGGATCGGGAACGGGGATGAACATCGTCGAAACATGTCGAATGCCAGTGGTCGCGATAGCACACATGGAGGGGTGGAGGGGAGCGGGTACGGGCGGGTTCATGGTGGCATTGAGGTCCCCCTGTCACTAGACGTGGCGAGCACGAAACCTAGCACAGGAGAATACAAATGCCCAGGCACGAAGATCAATGGGCGGACCGTTCCATGAACGAAGCGAGGGATAGTGCCGACGGAAGCAATGCCGAAGTTGTAGTAGCCGTTTGGACGATGTCCTACTGTTCAAGCATTGGCTCTGTCCTTCGCGATGGATGCCAATGGCCTCTTCCCTGCCAGGCCGAAAGGGGTGGAGTGGGCGTCGTGTTGTGATGCCAGGATATCCCAGGATCGTTTGCACAGTGCTGTGGCACGCCTGTACACACGGTTTCTGCAAAGTTTCAGAACTAGTTTAACAGCCATGGGAGGTGAGTTTGTCGGACATGCAGCCCATCACCTAGACAATATTAGCCTTTCCGCGAGAAGCCGCTTTCGTCCGAAAGCAGTCACCAAGCCTCGAGTGTTCAGCGGCCAAAGCACAGTACCTGAAATGCTCTGGACACTGCCGCTAAAATCACAAAGGAAATGAAGCAGGCATGGGCCCGTGCGTGTCAGGACGGGGGCTGACATTGAGGAGCTGCGCCTTGTGACGGGGCAAATGCGGCAGCCTCTGTTCAGCAAAAATAACGTAAGCAGCTGCTTTTGGGGCGTCTATCGCTATGCCCGTCATGCTGTGAACTTTACGAGCTTGGGTCATTGGTTTTTGAACAAAGAAGTCTGAGGTTACCTCTCCGGCTCATGTGGGTTTCCTTCATTGATAGCTGTTGGTTTGAAGAACTTTCCGAGGGAGGGGGCAAGCTAGTTGCGGCAGTCGTGGGGAAATCGTGTAGTGGCTGAAGCATGCTGAAGCTTCGCGGCTTGTGCGTCCGTGGCATATTGCAACAGAAGTTCTCTGTGATTTGGCGGTATATTCGGCGAAGATCTCGACACTGAGTCGAGAAACTGAGAAGGAAACCTGAATGTAAGATCCACGAAGCCCCTGTAGTACCCTGTAGCGGGTGTGCCGTAGTGGTGGCTGATTGCTGTAAAAAGGTGAAGCCCGTCATGTTCCCAGGCGGCAGAAGCTCGTGCTATCACATGGCTGTGTGCAACGAGCCGCCGAGGACACCCAGTCTAGGCGACCGGTTTCGTCTTGGGTCTGTTTGGGTTGGATGGACGGAAGGCAGCAAGGACAACGTGACAAAACGCGCGTGCGGTCACGAGATGCACTTGCATCTGGAATCACTGCGCAACTCCGAAATGAATATTATCACATGCTTGCTGGAGCAGACTACTGAGTTGACTATGCAGCATTTTTGTAGGGCCACTCGGGATGAGAGGACTTGCTGAGGAGGGGGCAAAGTCTGCTCCATGTGATGTCCCAGGCACGCGTGTCGAGTGGGTTTCCTGTTCACCGGCCAGATTCTGCTTCGGCTTGTTCGGCTTCCGGCTGCGACTCGAATGCCAGGTTGACGCAGAAGTTCGGAAGCTACCGGTCTCGAAAGTAGCCGCTGTGGAGGAGATGCTTGCGCCTCGTATCACCTGGTGCAGTTGAGCTATCACTTACTAGTACGGCAAGCTATCCTGTGGCGAGGAGCTGGCGAGAGTGGCCTTGCATTCACAGCTCGAAGTCTCCAAGGCACAGAGCCTGCAGGTTCTCGCTGTATTAGTGAAGGTTCCCTGGTCTTTGCGCAGAGTACCTCGTCTGTCGTCAGGCCGAGACTGCAGCCGAAGAGCAGAGGACTCTTTGCCTCTTTGCACCTCAACTTCTGCACGGTCTGTATTCGTGTGTGGGTTTCTTGGGCCTGTTGAGCATCTATAATACTATGCTATAGCCAGCGTGTGTGTTTGTGTGTGTGTGTGTGTGCTTCGTTTTCTCCACACTGGGACAAGCACCTCGTGTAACTAAGGGACCCGCTTCTGCCCCTATCTGATTCAACAAGTCGATCTTCGCTCTGCCCGCCTTATGATGAAAGTTAGGGTTTAGGGTTGCGGGTTTAGGGTTTTAGTTTTCTTGAGCAAGGTATGGAAGTGCAGTCAGGAGTGCTGACCTTCCGTCCATGTTCTTCAGGCGATTGCACAAGTCCTGATGCAAAAAAGGGTTTTAGTGGCCTGCCGGCACCTCAGTCCGTGCTGAAAGGGTTTTAGTGACTAACCTAAACTTGACAAGGTAAACTTGACACGAGGCTTCCTTGGACTTTGCCGCAACCTGTCACGCTAGGAAGCGGCACTTACGGCCGACTCTGCGTCGAGTGAGCCTGCCTTGGCTTGTCTGCCTGCTGCACTTGAGGAGATGCCACGAAGCCGAGCTAGCCTTCGGCCAAGCTTGGGTGAGCTTGGGGGAGAGGCTGTGAAAGGATTTGCCGCTAACTTTGGGTCAGGCTTGGACTGCCCGCTTTTCTTACCTTTGCTTAGTATTTGGAATGGAAGAATGCTAGTAATAGTAGTTATGCTTGTACCCCATTCCTTCATGCCCTACTAACCAAAGGCAAGTACAGATCCCTTATAGTAACCCTTACAGACCCCCTTAAAGGGAAACCGACCATTCCCTACTAACCGAAGGTAAGTTTTGTCTTGGGTTTTTTCCTTCAGGCGGCTCTCCAGCGCTTTGCCGAAGAGTCGGAGGCGCTGGTGCCGGCTCGGTGTTTGCCTAGTGATGCAAGCGAGCGGTTGAGACAGAAGATGAGTCGAAGCACTCAAACATAATATACTATATTACGTATATTAATAATATATATAGTATATTATTACTAGACATGATATGTAATCAACGGCCGCTGTTAACTCGGTAAAGTGCAAGGAGTGGTTTGACTGGATTTTGCTGCGCTGGCTCAGGCAGTGGCGCGCCAACTGGAGGTGAGCAATGCAGACCAACGTGTGGCTGTTCCTGTTGAATATTCCTTTGCGTGGAGGTGGAGGCAGCTTTGGCCAAAGGTCGCCAGGCCATCCGGTGGCAGTTCCGAGCGGTGCAAAAGCATCCAATCCGACAAATCGTCACAAAGGACACCCTTCTAACAAAAAAGAGTGAAATCGTGGAATATTGCTTAGTTGTTGGAACAAGAGTAAACAGTAATTACAGTATCAGCTGCTGAGCAGATGTTTGTAGCTGTGCATGTTTTGCGGCGATGGATTTTCCTCGAAACTCGAGAGCACGGGAGAGAGAGCAAGCAAGCAAGAGAGGCCTTACCTTAAGTAAAGTTCAGGGGGGTTTAACGGTCCAAGCCGGCGCCTTGTTCCAACAAAGGAGACTTTTTCACCACAGACAACCCAGTGCGCACCTGTGCGCGGGGGGAGGGTGACCGACCCCTTGGCTGCGTGCAAGCAAGGCCTTACATCATCAACAGTCTCACTCACCCACAGGCTCTGTGGCGAACTGTTCATGTCTTGCAGTGACACCGTAGAGACAACGCTCCATCCACGCCTTCGCTACAGCGAGCGCCGCATACAATTCATTACGCAACTTACATAGTAGTCAAAGCAAAAGTAGTACTAGTCAGCAATATCAACAACAAAAGCAGTAATAGTCATCCAGTGTAGACACATTCACCATCCCAAACTACCTTGCCAAGCAGAAACCCGCCCAATTCCCGAGTCCTCCGGGGACACTGTGAAAGGCAATGAAACATTTCTGGCTTTCTGGCCATTCCTTGTTGAAGGGTGTGGGATGGAGGGAGGGGGGTGGGGGGGTCGTAGAGATGGTAAAAGTATTGGGCGATAGTGCGAGTCGAAAAGTATTGGTAATGGCAGCCGTGATAGTATCAGTAAGAGTGACAGTAAGAGTAACCAGTTCTAGTAGTACTCGTCTGAGAAACGGAAGCAGCAAACGAACATACAATGACATTCACACAGGAAACTGAACTTTAGGAAAAGGTAACGGTAATTCTCACTGTTGATTGTTTGTTACTGTTCTCGTTGATGGGGTAGGAGGGCCATCGGTCGTAGCATAAATACTTATCAGTAGAGCCGAAGTAGTGGTCGTGGCTGTCGTGTAGCCGCAGTCGTCGTATACTAGCAGCAGGAGATGGAAGAGCATCGTTTCGCCAATAATGAGCACCAGCACCTCTTGCCATGCAGTTGATTGAAGACACTCAGGTTCACACATGCTTGCTTACATACATGTCGCCACCGCATATCTGGGGTGTGCTTGTGCTGTAGAGGGACATGTAACTACACGTGCTAATGTAGCAACAGATGAACTTCCGGACATGATTACTGGACAGAGGCACATTTCGTCCACAGGAGCGTGCAGGCAGGCTTACAGACATGCTGACAACCTCTATTCAGAGACATGAGTGTATCTTTGCTTCGCGGGCAAGGTTTCTCTATTGTCTGGACTTAGTGGCCTCCCCTCTCTCTCGCCGTAACTTTCGCTCTCTCCCTGTCTCTCACTCTCTCACTGCGCGGATACCTAAAAAATGTACATATGCAATCAAATAACTGCATGAGCTGGAAACTGAATCGGTGTGTGTATACGTGCGTATTTCTATGTGTGCACGAATGAAGACTATCGGACTAAGTAACACACCAACGCCAGCTCCCGACGCCAGCGACTGTGGCAGCCCCGGCACGGCGGATGGGCGAGGATGACGAGGTGCAGAGCTATGCCGCTCGGCCGCTGGCAGGGGTTGACAGACATGCTGCTACTCTGGTGGGTATCTATATCTTCTTTAAGCAAGTGTAGATATGGCACAGATTCGGGTTTTCAGGCAAATTCTGCGCCCACAAACGGTTCGGCTAGATTGCTAGACAGTGCAGCAGGCTCACCGGTCATTTCAAAGCCGTCAAACCTAAGCCGAGCCCCAGAATGATCAACGCACCGGAATAACCCCGGAGACACACGCAGGAGTGGCTTCGAATGTCTCGCGAAGACGATTGCCGGCAGGCTCACGAAGAGCAGACTGACTCGACATGTGAAAGCCTGAGGTTGATTCAGTACTTTTGTGTTATGTCAGCTTTTGTGAGGCAGGTTTGGGTCTCTGCTTCGTGGATAACTTCGAAGCTCGGAGACGGCTGGCTCGGTGGCTGGCCGAGCTTCTGTAAGTGCACTCCTGCCGACATAGCATACTTTAGCGCAGCCAACCAGGTCCAACACACCCTGTGCGGTTCCACAATGAAGAAACTTCCAGATGCTTAGACGTTTCAAAGTGTTGGTTTCTGATTGCAACTTTCCAGGCTTCTGACGGCCAGGGCCAGCCGCAGGACGCCTTTCCAGGACCGTCTTTTCCCACACAGTGTGGTATGCTACCCTCGGCGTGAAGAGAATCTGTGGGCGCAAGGCGCACGGAAGGCTCCCCCGTGGTGTGGTGTTTCTCAAGCCCGACCGTATAATAGTATATGATAGTATGTAATAGTATATAATAGTATATAACAGTATATAATAATCTATAATAGTATGTAATAGTATATATTTGTATATAATAGTATGTAATAGTATATAATAGTGCTGGTAGTTGAGTCGCTGTTGTTGCAGACACTGCGCCTGCCACATAGGGTCAGGCAGACAGTGGCGGCCTTCGTGATTTGTGAGCGGCGGCATTTTCGTACGTGCAGGCTACCTCAAGTGATTAGTAGCCTCTTGGCGGCTGAAGCTCTACTGTTTCTGTTGGGCGATATGTGCGGGAAGAGCGGATCTCTCCCGAGACGTCCTTCATGCATTTCGCCAGTGGGCTGTTGTTTTTGGACGAGGGTTCCCTTTCGAAGTCGGCAGTGTGCATAACCAGGATTCAGGTCTCAGTTAGTCTTTTTCCTCACGCTTTGCCCTTACGGCACGTCGCCAGTTTTCAGTTCTTGTGCAGGCCAAGCGCAGAGCCTGTTCGTGCAAAGCTTCTGAAGAATTTGAAGCAAGTCGCATTAGTCGTAGTCGTGCTGTTGGTGGTTGTAGTGGTAGTGGTGGTAGTGGCCGTGGTAGTGGTGCTAGTCGCAGCAGCAGCAGCAGCAGCTGCAGCAGAAGTCGCAGTAGCATCCGTAGTAGTCGGTCGTCGAATTAGCAGTAGTAGTAGCAGTAGTAGCGGTAGTGGTTGTGGTTGCGGTTGTGGTAGTGGTAGTAGCAGCGCTAGTGATAGTGGCAGGGGTGGTAGCAGTAGTAGCAGTAGTAGTAGTAGTAGTAGTAGTAGTAGTAGTAGTAGTAGTGGTAGTGGTAGTAGTAGTAGTAGTAGTAGTAGTAGTAGTAGTAGTAGTAGTAGTAGTAGTAGTAGTAGTAGTAGTAGTAGTAGTAGTAAGACACTACGTAGTACATAGTAAGTAGTAAGTAGTACGGAGCAAGTAGCAAGTAGCAAGGAGCGACTCGCTCGCGAGTAGGAAGTAGTAGTAGGTAGCCGGTAGTAGGTGGTGGGTAGTAGGAGTAGGAGTGGGAGAGAGGTGGTCGTCGTTCGTCTTTCGTTGTCCGTTCTCTGCCTCAAATGAGGCCACTCTGGCCCCTCCCCCCCCACCTTTCGACCACCGCCCACTGTAACATCTCCGCTGTCACTGTTGATGGTGACGAAGTCCAGATAATTCGATACCAGTGTGAAGTATAGGCATTTTCCATGGGCCAACGGCGAAGGAGGTGCCTTCTTCGATCGTCGAATGTCTGGACATCCTTTCGCAGGAGCTCCGTCTCAGTTCGCTGGATCTCGAGTTTTCCAGTAGCTTCGAAGCCTGTCTAGGTGCTTTAAACTTTAGGAACCATGTCGCACTTGGAAGTTGTCAGCCTGTGTCCTACAGTGAGACCAGTTCTCCCGATTAGCTGCCCTGGAAGGCTGGTTCGTATCGCATTCTTTTCGAAGAGTTCCGTGAGATCGTCGAACTGATTGAGGAGAGCCTTCACCTTGCTGTTTGGTGGTTAACTGCCACCCGCATGGCACAGGCTTTTGCTGTCAAGCAACTGCAGTCTCGGGGCTTTGGTCCTAGATCCGAAAGCTATGTAGGCAGAACCCTTATCGGCATCTTGACTGCCAACGGGCAAACGGTAAGGCTTGCCGCACATGCCGCGAATCAGACAACTGTCCTTCACAGCTTTGCAGAGCCGTCGGCTTACCACTACGAACCATTTCGAACCCTCTAGATGTCATGCATTTCTTTGCCACAATCACCGGGGTGCTTCAGTCCTTCGCCACCCTGTCAAGCCGTCAAGCCTCCAACAGCTTTTTGAGGAGCTGCATGTTTCGTCACAGCGCCGATCCAGGCATGAACTGAATGCATCCTGGTCTGCAGTGTTTTATTCGTCTTGCTTCTGCCACCACGACCACTGCCACGGCCACTGCTGCTGCCGCTACGTCTACACAACTACAACGACGACCGCACGACCACGACCACAACCACTACTACCACACCACCACCACCACCACCACCACCACCACCACCACCACCACCACCAACACCACCACCAACACCAACACCAACACCACCACCACCACCACCACCACCAACACCACCACCAACACCAACACCAACACCAACACCAACACCAACACCAACACCAACAATACCACCAATACCACCAATACCACCACCACCAATACCACCACCACCACCAATACCACCACCACCACCACCACCACCACCACCACACCACCACCACCACCACCAATACCACCACCACCACCACCACCACCAATACCACCACCACCACCACCAATACCACCACCACCACCACCAATACCACCACCACCACCACCAATACCACCACCACCAATACCACCACCACCAATACCACCACCACCACCCACCACCACCACCACCACCACCACCACCACCACCACCACCACCACCACCACCACCACCACCACCACCACCACCACCACCACCACCACCACCACCACCACCACCACCACCACCACCACCACCACCACCACCACAGGCCATGCAGGAGGCAAAAAACACCACTTCTGCTTCCAGTGCAATTGTTTCGGCTCGATCTGACGTGGGGAAGTGATCTGAGCCTCCACCCCTTCTGCCTGCCTGCGTGCGCAGTACAAGTATTTGGGAGCAGGAGTGCAGGTCCTTTTTGGCATTCGGCTTGAGCAAGCCTTTAGGACTCCAGGCGTCAAGCTGCGAGAGACCCGCGCAATTAAATTCTTCATGCAAACAATCGAACTCCTCCGTCAGAGTTGTAAGGCAAGGCGGACGCAACCACGGCAGTGCGCCCTCCCAGGCACAGTCCGGGAGCCCAGCGGAAAGCAGAGGCAGAGGAAGTCCATGTTTGCAGTTTTTTTTTTTTTTTTTCCGAATTTGTGCGATGGTAAGGCATTCAATGATGGGTTTGGCATGTGGTTCTCCGCGAGTTTCTGAGTCAATTGCCGGATCAGTTGCAACTTCTATCGTTTTGGGTTCCGCGAAGAGCCTCAGAAAGCCTTAGAGCCTGTGACAGAGCCACTGTAAATCAGCACGCCCGAAATGTTTGAACGAAGGAGACCACCCTGGATAAGCTGCATTATGAGTGACTACTGCCTTGCCAGCGTCGGTGTCACTGCCCACATCAGTAGATACTGCTGTTGCGATGGGTTGCCCTGCTCTAGGAGAGTCGGAAACTGCGGCCCTTCGAGGTCAGGGCGAGGGCACTTGTGTGGGGGTACAGTCTTCAAGAAAAGCCTTCGGGTTGCTGTTGACGGCTGGAAGTGATCCTCGTAGCATTCCTTGAGCGGAGAGAGACGAGTCCTATCGCCCGCCTCTTCCACTCGCCAGGCCGCGCTTTTCGACAGGTGTCACGGAGGCCGTGGTTTAAAGCAGAGTGAAGTTGCGGTTGTCGAGAGCTCCTGGATCGTTTGCTTGTATGTGGCTCTGTAGCCCAGAACAGACTGTCTTTGGAGGCTCGATGGGATTGCAAGCCGTCATTGTTGCAAGGGGCATGCAGGTTCCTATGGGAGATGAGAGAAGTGTCACGTTCACAGATGGGTCTACATAGGCGTGCGTTAGCGACTATGCTAGCATCGGCAAGAGGTGCCAAATCGCTTAAGCTCGGTGCAGAGCCATGACAGCAGCCTCAGTGAATCGGTCTGCAGCGTGCCAGTCAGATGCAGTCCAACTTGCATGCATCTTGGATTTCCTGCCATAGGTTCTTGAATGTATGAGACGTCATGTCAAGATGGACACACGCGCACTATCCCTTTGCACTCACAAGACCCAATGGGGATAGGTGAGTTCTTGGGAGGTGAAGGGCTGTATGTAAAATCGAGCCGGGACGGGAAGCCCCAGCACCGGAAGACGAGATGGACAGACGCATGGGGCACAAGAATCACAAGAATGCCGAATCCGAGGCTTCCTGGAGAGCTTGAAGGCTGTTCTCGAGCAGGGTCAGGCTCGCATGGCGGTGAGGTCATAGCGAGCAAGAGTACAGCCAGCATCAAGGCATGTCGAGCCTAAGGCTAAGTTTTCATGCCGAGGGCGTGCGGAGGCTTCATGTGCGTGGGCTTTTGTGCACGACGGGCTCACGGGCCAAGCGGCCAAGCCCGAGTTCAGGACATCCATGCGCGGCTTGCGCGCCTGGACACGCTTCAGGGCAGCACCTCTGCGCCGCAGCATTTTAATCTGGCGGAAGATCAGCCCGAGGCTAAGCTTTACCTTGGGATGCTGGGCTGCTGGGGGGGGTTTGGGACATGCCGAGTGCCGGAAGTGCAGGAGGGAGAGGGGCTCTCACTGCAGTGACTTCAGGCCCAAGCCCTGGGCGAAGGCGCCGCCTCCCCCTTTCGTCGCGCCTCGGATCCAAGCCGTCACGCTCCGCACTCTCGAGATGCGTTGGCGACCGAGGAACCAGAGCCAGCACGGAAGCCGGTGTTGAAGGCGGCGCCGCCAGGACAGAGCACCATGCAAACGGCGGGACATCCGGGGCTTGCCATCTCGTGCGGCGGTTTTGCGTGCGGACTCAAAACAAACCTGCCGATTTCGTCCCATACCTGACAGGACTGGCCCCTTCGACAACAACGGTACAGGCTAATCTTGTTGCAGAGTGACAAGTTGGTAAGGATTTTCTGCCTTAGAGCTTGCAGTCGGGCCCCGGCCCTATCATTGCTCCTACCTCCGTCCGCTTTGGCTGTGCCAGGTGAAGGCTCGTCCAACATCGTGGCTTGGCCAACCATGGGCTTGAGACCGGGATTCGTTGAGGCTAAGCTACGAGCCATTGAACTGCGGCTTGAGCACTGACAGTGTTTGGAAACTGATGCGACAAGCATGCCTTACAAGGGGCTGTGGCTGGAACAGACGTCTTTTTTGCTCTGACCGTGCATTTCAGGAAGGCGCCGCCATCGAAAGGCAAGGCACCGCCTCCGGGGTTCAGGAGCTCCACATAGTCGAAAGGCAAGACAAATCCAGCACCGGTGACGTTGCAGTACTCAGTTCCGATGCAGTCGATGATAGACACACACTGGTTGCGAATGACGGCTGTGTTGTTTATTGGTGGTTCTCACTGTCACTATCCTTCTCTATGACTATCACTGCTGGACCTAGTCAGCAGGACATGGTTAATGCTAGAGGAACAAATATCGGTGGCATGAGTCAGGGATCGTACTGGTGACTGGCAGGCTAGCAGTAGCAGTAACGGCAAGAGTAGATCATCTTCGCAGCATAGCAGTTGCCGAGGACCAATCCTATAAGAGGAAGAGGGAGGAGATGTAGGAGAGGAGTTTCTAGTCGTCGCAGAAGTAGTGTTCGCGGTGGCGAAAAGGTTGTGGAAAGTGCAGTCTAGTAGCAGTAGTAGTAGTGGTAGTAGTAGTAGTAGTAGTAGTAGTCGTAGTAGTAGTAGTAGTAGTAGAAGTAGTAGTAGTAGTCGTGGTCATGGTGGTGGTGGCAGTGATACTACTTTCGTAGCCGTAGCTATCGTCGTAGTCGTAGATCGCTGAATTACGTGTAGATATGAAAAGTCGTGTTCATGCTAGTTTCTTGCCATGTTGGAGCCGTGATAGTCTTGCATGAAGTTTACAATGAGATGAAAGTCGCAGTGCACTCACTTTGTTCTGCATTTGTTTTTGCTATTCTTGCTGGTGCCAACTCACCATAAAATATAGCCATGGCTAGCCATTGATTGAAAAGTAGTACACCCAGCCCATCTGGCTATATACAGATACATATTCATACCTGTATGTACAAGATCAAGGGAAGATAACATGCGAATAAACACAAAAACTGTAAATGTATGCAAATGCCATGCACTCACGTACATGCGTATGCATGCAGGCATGCATACGCACATACACATACTTACACACGTACACGTAACACACACACACACAGACACACGTGCATGTATACTCGCATGCCAGGTGCATACAACGACGTACACATTAGTTAGCATTGCATACATGTACACACATACATGTGCATATACGTAAGTATACACACATATGCTTCAGTACACGTGCATCTACCTACAGGTATGTGCACATGCAGACATACACATGCCTACGCACATGTATACATAGATTTACAGACTTATTCATCTTCAGATAAATACACTGATGCATCTGCATATACGTATACATACAAATTTTCACAGACATCCATGCACGTGCGCATACATATCCACATGCACGGCTTGCCGTGCGACGCCACGCCACCGCCACGCGGCCCTGGCCAGCACATATACATGCAGGCATACAGTCGTATTTACATACATGTACAATATAGACATGTGTTCGCACACGCAACAGATAATACATAAACACAGAAAATACTAGAAAAAGTAAATAAACAAATAAGTAATAATATATATATATATATACATATGTATATAAACAAAAGGCATATATATATATATATATATGTAAACAAGTAAACAACTGTTTATTAAACAAGTTAATAAGTAAGTGCATATATACACAGACATCTACTTTTTGTACATATGTCTGTATGTATGTATGTATGCGTGTATGTATGCATATCCATATGAACATACACCTACGACGACTACGATGATTATCCTTATAATGATGTGGTGGTGGTGATGACGATGATGACGATGATGATGATGATGATCGCCTACGACGGCGATGATGACCGCTAGTGACTGTCGTCTCGTCGTGGCCGTCGTTGTCACGCCTGCCATACCATCGCCGCAGCCTGCACCGAGCTGCGTTTGTGCGGTAAAACCAGGAGCGACGAGGCTGGAGATGCGGAAACTCAAGGACTGCTGACTGCTGACCGCTGCTGGCCTCGCAGTGTGACTGCTGAACTTCGCCTTCGTTGAGGGTTGTGTGCTGGCGCTTAGGCGCAGCGTCAATCCCGGTGCTTTGTTCTTTCTCGTGCAGTGGCAGGACAAGCAAGAGCCGCCGAGCCGGCAGCACAAGGCACCTTGCACCAGTTTGAGATCCTTGCTGGCAGCTGCTCGCGCTGTGAGCAAAAGGAAGTTTGGCAAAAGCGTGATGTATGTCAAACTCACGGGATGTGTTTGAAGCCGTGGCTGGAAATATTCTTCCCAGCGTCAGCAGTGGAAACCACCGCTGTTTATACAGACTGCCTTACTGCATAGGTGAGTGTCGGGTCTGCACCTTTGCGGTGCTTTGCCCGAAACACCGGCGCGGAACAACTCAAAAGAACCACATCTCTCCTGTTTTTCTTACTCCAGGGCCCCGGCTTTAGAGTTGGGGCTGATTTAGCTGTTGCCAGATCGATTTGGGGCCTTCACTCTGCCGGCAGGCAATTGGATTCAGAAGTTGCATTCTTTCATCTCATCTTGAATCCTTTCCTGCTTTTGACACGGGCAAGGACGTCTCCGGAGCATTTGTGCTTCCTGAGTCGTGACGGCTGAGGCAAAGCTCCGCCACCGCATTTGCGCATGGAGGCAGCTGCTCTGGGAGTCTATCAGAGTCACGGATCGAGTTCCCTTCCGGCCGTCCGGGTTCCAGGAATTCACGACTAAGCCGGTCCGTCGCGAGAGGAAATCCAGCAGATGCTTAGCCAGCTTGGCCCTGTTCACTGCACCTCGTCGTGCAGGCTCCTTCTTCCGGCACTGAAGGCTGGCCTTGACAATCATTTGCCTCCGCGGCTGCAACTTGGGACCCTCTTCGGATGCCGGAGATGTGTCCACTTGCCACGGCTCTCTGTCGTCAGCACTGAAGCTGCGCCTCTCACAGAGTGGCTTTGATTGTAGATTGGAGGAAGAGCGTACTGTAAGGGCTCTCTGTGCAGGGTCACCGACACATCGGCCCGAGCTTGCGCAGGCACGGAGTGCTGACAGATACGACTCTGGGATGAAGCCGTTGTTTCTGTCACCTTGAACCGTGACAAAAGGTTGCTTTCACAAGGCTTGTATAGTATAAATCGATCCTGAAGTTGACATGCTGAAAACTGAGCCCCCGGGCCTGTATGCTTCAGAGATGTGATGGAGACCGTGCATGCAGATTACGGATCCTCCCATGTCTGGCTCCCCTACGCAAGGGAAAAGCGCCGCCTGCCCATCTCGATCCGCTGGCGAAGGCACTGCCTCCGAAGCCGCAGGCCAACTTCGGAGTGGGGAGAGGCAAAGTAGCGGTCTGTTCGGCTTTTTGTACCTGTCTGTAGGCATAGTATAATGATTGATGCTTGCCTTTCTGCTGCTTCTTCGTCCTCTCAGCCTTTATGTGCCCGGCTGAGAGGAGCGGCAGCCTTCGTCACCAGACCGCGGAGGAGGCATCCAGTTCGAGCGATGCACCACAAGTCTTTGGTCAAACTTATATGAGGGACCCAAGAAGCACACAAGCATAAGCATTTGATGGGGATATCCCTACCTTGTTTGGCTTCATTATAAGGGGGTTTATATGGGATATCCCTAACCTTATTTTTGCTTATGTGCTTTTTTGGGCCCTATTATAGCACATGCACAACTCATGCATTTCCTTAGGCTCGCGCTTCGAATGATCGATGTCACAAACAAGTCCGGAAGCCTCGGCAAGTAGTCGGGACGCCAGTTTCCCAGTGTGAATATTCATATACATATACATATATATATATATACACACATACATGTCTATATCTTTCACACCCCTCTCTCTCTCTCTCTCTCTCTCTCTCTCTCTCTCTCTCTGTCTCTAGAAATATGCGTAGATTCGAGAGATAGCTAGCTTCACCCCGAGAGAGAGTCTCCTCAGTCTGCCTTTCTGTATCTTGTCGATTGAATCTCCAACCAATATTGCGCTATATTGCAAAGCTGTGCGCCCATGATCCTCCAACCCCGAAGCTCGTAAAGAACATGTGTACTGAGCCGCCCTTCGCAAATTGAATGTTCATGCAATCCCCGTGTCCTTCGCTGTCGACAGCAGGCACCTCGCTACCCAGTGTGCCTCCGCAAGCTTTCTCGAAAGCACCGCCACCACCTCTGGTGATAGAGCCTCAGGAGCTTACGGTTTAGGGTTTTGGGTTTAGGGTTTAGGGTTTAGGGTTGGCTTTTTTTAGTTAGATTGGCGCTTCAGTTTAGTGTTTCGGCCCAAGTCAACGACTGATCCTCGAAGTTAGGCTACTGAAAGCGTCGCCTTGATCCTACACCTCTAATTCTCTTATGAGGCTCCTCCGCATCTATGGTATCCGAAGATGTTCGAGATGTTCTTTCTTCAATCTGAAATGTCTTGGAAGTGCTACCCTCAACCGAGTACGCACCAATGACCTCGCCTGACGGTGTGGTTTCCCATTTGTTTTGATAGCATGAATTATGGTATACAAGGATGCAAGAAAGCAAGTTGGCAAACGGGCAAGCGGGTAAGGCTAGCAAGCCAGCGAGCAAGCCGGCCAGCGAGCAAAAGGGCAGGCAGTAGGGCCTTCCCTGACCGATGCTTGTATGGTGTGTTGTCATTGTTGAAATTGAAGAGTTGGTGGCACCCAGCGATTGCCTGCGGAAGAGTTCCTTCGGAAGCGCCAGCAGGAGACAAGGAACCTTAGAGATGCGACAGGCCAGAACAAAGCAGGATAATGCATTTGGAAGGTGTGACAGCCTCCTTTTACGAGAAGCTGGCAAAGGTTTGATAGCGATGGAGAAGGTCTGAAATTCGGGACAGCAGTGTCGAAGCTTAAGACAGCAAGCTGAACCGCTGCAGGGTAGCGAGCCATTTTGAACTAGCCATGAGTCAGCCTCAATGCTATCCTATCTGAAAGTCGTGAGGAGGACACGTCGCCGGAAGAAAGCCATCCGGTGGCAAAGGCACCGTCTCCGTGTCTCGTGGATCTGCCTATGATGCCGCCATGTGCCGCCTATCTTTGTCTGGGCCAACAGAAACGCATTGTTTTGTCGTGTATCAGTCCTGAACTGTTTTAGTGCTGATGTTGAGGAGTCGCCGGCGGCTCCAGCAGTCAAGCAACCAACAGTCAAGGCGCCACCGCCTCTTTTCGAGGACAGGGTTCAAGCTCTGGGAGTTACAGCCCTGGCACAAGGTCGTGAATGCTGAACGACCCACTATGACGTTGCCCCCGTGAAGCTTCGTACAAGTACAACACGGGGTAGCTGGGTCCACTGAAGAGAGTAGACTTACTGCATGTTACTTGTACTTCTAAGAACGTCGTTCTCCTTGAGGCCTGAAGCTGAGCCTGCGGAGATCACTTGTCTTGATTGGTGTCGCTCTGACAATGTTGTTGTCGCACGGTCTGGCAGTTGCGCGGATGATATGTCTTCCGTAACTCTGTTATCTTCAGCGTATTTCATCTTCATATACGGCGATTTGAAGTCTCAAATTCTGCATCAAGCTGGGGATGTCAGGCAGTTTGCAACCCCGCGAAAGGAGTTCGGTGTTTTGTCCTCACGGACCCCAAACCTCAGGTCTTCTGAAACTCTGGAGGCCGCCACTGCCCTGCTTAGCCCTTCGTGACAGGAGAAAGCCGATGCGGCTCCGAAGCCGGCAACGAAGGCGCCGCCACCGCCCTTTGTCGAGGACGCTGGTTTTTCCCGGAAGCCCATGTCTCCACGGAAGCAGTTCTGGTACATACATTGCATGGCTATTGCATGGCTATACGCCCCCGTAACCGTGAGCACCAGGCAGATTCGAGTGTGACTGCAGAATACGTCAACACCAGTTGCCACATGTTGCATATGTTGCCAGTCAGCTCTGCCGGTGGCACACGGGACATGCCCAAAGATGCGCGGGAAATCTGGAAATGAGCTATTCCAGCGATAGGTGAGGAAGGAAGGATGAACGGGTTATGACAACTCAAGGCAAAAATTCACTGAGCATGCAGAAAAAGGATACGCATCGCAGCCGCTATAGCCATGAATGTGTCATCACGGTCATAAGTCATAAGCATGGCGAGCAAGATGCGCAAGAGGCATATCACCGCCATAGCTGTCTTTCTTGATCTTCAGAAACATTTCCGTCTCCTGCATCAAAGCCACCCGTGGGGTCTCCGAGTCCGCGACCAGCCCCGCCTTTTCGGACTTGAAATACTTTTCTGCTTCAGCCATGGCCATGTAACATGTGGCATGCCTCACCGTCATCCTATAGCCTATAGTCACCCCGCAGACAAGACGAGGAAGGACACCTGCGCGAATTAATGCAGTTGCGCGACGGCTGCATGTTGGTTCATGCTCGCCGTGCCGTCCTTGTTTTTCACTTTTCCGGCCGTCAAAGACAGAGATATGCGAAGACTGCCGCATCATGGTGGAACATAAGGGCGCGGCATGTACTCCTGAACTTTCGTGAGGGATTCACAACTGTCCTCATCCTAAGATCCAATCGAGACGTTACAGAATTTTTTGATATTCTGCATTGCGTACGGCATAGATATCCCCACCCCATGTTGACATGCGTGATGTTTATTGCGGTGCAGTTGACATGCAGACAGCGGGTGCGCTCAGCTTTGCATCGGCCCAAAGCACGGAAGGAGCTGTCAACGGCGTCCAGAAGCCCACCGGTGAAGCAGCCGGGGGCAAAGGCCCCACCACCCCACCTGGCCGTCACGTGCCTGCATGGCAGACTTGACGTGCGTTGTTTGTGCTGCTGGTACTGAGCGGGGCATCTGACCGAAACGGTTGCCATGTGACATGCAGGATGACGTCCGAGCCAGCCGGAAAGCATTCTTGTCCAGCTGTGTGGCTTCTACAAGCACCCCCGCGAAGCCCGTCATGTAGATAGGAACACCCACGTACACCTTGATGCTGCTCAAGTCAGAAACAGAGTATCAAGCTGCAGCTGCGTAGAGTGTGCGGACAGCAGAAACCAAACGGACGAAGTTGTAGAAACGTTCGAAAAGTAAGAGTGTACCGGCTTCAGGATCAGGGCCCGCCGGCAACAGAATCCTCAGTGCAGCGTTCAGCGCAGAAGGCGCTCCCCCACCTTGTGCATGACCTCCTGAGATGGAGCCACAAGCACCTTCCGAACCTTCGCCCGCCTCCGGAGGTTACCTTCTCAGATGAGTCTGAAGTGAAGGAGCTGTCACATCGTCTCACCCTGGGTTCAGGGGTCATGTTGGAGTTGTTTTAATGTACGGGGTGACAATTAAAAAATTCCCCGGGCCAGATTATCCGTGTGCAAGAGGAGTTTCAATTACGTAGCCATTCTACCCCAACAACTGATGCTACAACTGGGGTCGCAGTAATTTAGGGGGTGACGATTAAAATATTCCGGGCCCCAAATCCCCCAAAAAATTAGGAACGAGGCTAAGTAACTAGCAAGAGCTCAAACTAAGAGGACCCTAAACGCAGCCAGCAGAGTGCAGTTTGTTTTATTGCTCTTTGTACGTATGACTACGGACATATTGTTGCTTGGCTCAGGACAAAAAGTGTGTGTGCGATTCGTGCTATCGTGCACTATCTATAGGTTATCAGCCGTAGCCTAGTCGAGCCATATCCTTTTCCAGGTCGCTCCTGAAATCCTGCAGGTAACACCGGAATGGAGGACACAGCCGAGCCAGTGCCAACGGGTATCTCAGATATGACATTGGCAACTGATGAAGCAAGTGATCAAGGATTTCCTCCATTAATGCCAACAGGTGATAGTCATTTGCCGAATGACGGACTGGCTATCATGTCACATGATGCAGCGTACTCTCCGATTGATTCGTTGCTTAGAGAACGTGTCCCTACTACGCCAGGATCTATTGCACCTGTTACTCCGGTAGGAATACCTGGGCCATTGGCTCATGCTACGGGCGTGCCCAGCCCATCAACACCAATTTATTCACCTCATCTTCATCAAACAAGCCTCACCCAGAACCTTCAGGTTGTCGATGCCAGGCAGTTGACGATTAATCAGGATGCATCTCCGATGGTCGCCTTTGCCGCCGAGGCACGACACAATCAGATTATCGGCGAATTGGGAGCAGAACATCAGGAGCAGCTCCGTGCAATGTACAATAGTGGGCTTGCAGAGGTGAACAAGTTGAGGAACGAATTAGGCAATGCTAACATTGCGTTGTCGATTCAGAGGTCTGAAATGGGTCAAGGTGAAGTTCGTTTCCAGCAAACCGAAAGCGCGAGGGAACTCGCTGTCATTGAAGCCAACCGGCAAGCGGAAGCTGCCCGTAGAGCTTTAGAGGAAGCCAACAGCAATGCCAGGCGCCTTCGCGAAGTGGAAACTTCTGCCCGTCAGAATGATGCAATGCGATCCCATGAGGTCGCTGACATGTCATCTCGGATGGATGAACTGATGAGGCAGCTTCACGCCCAGCGTCAGCAGACTGAGGTATTGATTCAGCAGAATAGCGCATTAAGCTCCAGGGTTCGAGATTTCGAAGCTAGAGATGCTGCTTTGAGGATTCAAGAGGGAATTCCACAAGGGCCTCCACCCGGCATTCCCGTACATCCCATTTCCACCCCGAAGCACGGAGGTGACACTCCTACGGAACAGGCGACGGACGCCGGGAGGCGAACCCCTCCAGATGGCTCCAGCCCAGGTGGCGGTGGTGGTGGCGGTGGGCCTGATGGCAACGGCCCCAGTGGAGGCGATGATGATCATGATCGTCGCAGTCGGAAGTCCAAGAAGGATAAGAAGCATAAGAAGAAGAAGTCGCGCAGGCGACGTAGGCGAGATCCTTCGTCTTCCCCTTCAAGTTCTAGCAGTAGCTCCGGTGATTCGAGTTCTTCATCATCCCGCATTGATAAGAAGACAATGAAGAAGCTCCTTAAGCGGATGAGTGAAGCTGTTGGTGACCGTGGTGAAAAGCCCGAAAAAGACGACAAGCCCAAAGTGAAAGAAGCTGAGAAGATTACCTTCCCCAAGTTCCCGCAACCTGAGAGCTACAGGAATTGGAGGCTAAGGGTTCGTGAAGCGGTTGTTGCCGCATCCGATCGTCCCGATGATGCCTTTTCGTGGCTTTGCAAGGTTTGGGAGAAAGACGTCAAGGAAGAAGATCTTCACGACCCGGAAGGGTTCGTCACTTTGGATGCCAAGGTACTGTCGGCGGTCACTAACATCCTGGAAGGTGCCTTTGCGAGACAGGTCGATACCTTCAAGGAGCGAGAGGCGAATGCCGGGAGACTTGTTCGGGGACGACAAGTGCTTTTCAAGTTGGATAATTTCTTTTCTACCAACGCACAGCATGGTTCAGTTTACGAGTTCGAGGATCTCTTGTCAGTCAAGATGGTCAACGAGAAGCTTGAGACGTTCATGCATAACTGGGAAACTGTATTGTCAGGGATCCAGACTACCCCCGATGAGAACTTCCTTGAGCCCTTGTTCCATAGGCAGATTAAGCGCTTCAAAGACCTCGCACATGATATCAACATCTATGAAAGGGCAACACCAGGGCAGCCAGAGAAGACCTACAAGTTTTTGTATGATGCGGCTACGAACTACTTGAGTCGCAAGCGTCTTGAACGCAACCGGGAACGGATTGCCAAGCAATATGGTGCTGATGGGAAACCATCCGCCCCCGCTCCCAAGAAGAAGTTCGTCCCTAAGGGATTTTGTTTTGAGTTCGTACAGAACGGTAAATGTAGCAAAGGAGACAAGTGCAAGTACAAGCATGAGATCCCTGAGAAGAGAGGCCGGTCGCATTCAAGAGGTGGAGGCCGCGCTCAGTCACCGTCCGGCAATGACGGAAAACCCAGAGAGTGCAAGTTCTGGAAGAGTGGGCGATGCAAGAAAGGAAGTGCATGCACGTTCCTCCACACAGGCAAGCCAAGCGCTGCTGCGGCGTCACAGGGCGGCTCTCAGGGGGGAAGACCAGGAAGCGCAGGCAGCAAAGGGAAAGAAAAGAAAGAGAAGAAGGGCCATCGCAAATCGCGGTCCAACTCGAAGGGCTCTCAGGGGTCGAAGAACTCTAAGGGCAGCAAGGGTTCGGACAAGCGAAAGGGTCCAAAATCACCAAAAGTTCCCGCTGCAGTCTGCATCCTAGGGGCATTGATCGCCGCGGCATCGGGTACCCAAGCCGACGCTGCTTATGCATTCCGGAAGGATATGCCCGATAGTCGTGGTGACATGTCATCTACCTTTTCATGTGCGTTGCCAGCTATTCGTTTCGACGATAATCCGATGCTCATCAACATCCCACCTGACGGAAAGATGTTGCCGACAGAACCCGAGACACGGAGGTACTTGAAGTCCTTCGGTGGGGAACCTCCTAGACCCAGTCAACAGGATGTCAAAGATGCACTGACGACTGCCAGGATGCTTAAAGCAACTCTGGATGCATATGGTTCCGGGATAAGGGCTAAGTGCGGTTATGAATGTGACACGGAATTCGGTTGCGACAAGTGCATTCCGAAACACATTGAAGCTACCTGTGTTGCAGCTACCAAAGCGGAAGCCCAGCAGCTCGACATCGAGTGGATCGCGGATACCGGCAGCGCCCAGGACCTGGTTTCACAGGGGGATCTCGGATCTTTGAGAAGCCATCGTTCCCAAAACCCTATCGGTATTGTGACGGCTAACGGGCCTAGCACTGCTGAGATTCAGTCCAACATCGCAGTTCCTTCATTGGGAATTGACAGCCATCCATATGTGTTGCCTAGCACACCTTCTGTTCTATCCGTCGGTTACAGGTGCATGGAGGAGGGATTCGATTTCGTTTGGAGATCGGGTACAAGACCTTACTTTCAGTCATCTAGCGGTGAGCGGATATATATGGATGTGAAGGATTACGTCCCCTACCTCAAATCGTGGAAGGAAGGTGTGGCGGTAACTGCGAGGCGGAAGCCCCAGCCCAATGAGGACCATAAGAATGATCTGGTTCTTTCGCTTGAAGAGGCTGAGGGATATGCAAGGGAAATTCGGATCAACGGCGACTTTCGTCTGGGATCATGTTACAAACTTTTGAAATTGACACCATTCAAGTCTACAGGGAATTCGAGGAGAATGAAAGCTACTGAGAACGACGACTCGGTTGAAGACGAAGTTGGCAGGGACTACATAATCATCGGCGCTTGGATTTTCAGCGGGATGACCGGGATCACAAATTCTGTAGATCGTCATGCTCAGCTGACCAAGTACCTGATCGCCTTCATGAAGTCAAGAGGGTTGAAAGATACCTTTACGTCCATCTGCATCAACCATGGTGGCAATCGCCGGGTGCATCGAGACTTGTTGAATCATGATAACTCGCTCAATCACACTCTAGGCGTTGGAAGCTATCAAGGTGGTTCCGTATGGGTTGAGCGGAAGGACGACTTTCCCGTATTTCGCAGAGAAGGTGTAGCCGGTGGGAAATCAAAGTGCGTCAAGGTTACGGGGGGACTCGAAGTCGACGGAAGAGTATATGACACTCATGATCGAATGTTATCCTTCCACCCCAAGCTTTGGCATCAGGCACAGCCTTGGACAGGTGATCGATGGACCATCACTGCATACACGATTCGGGATGTAGACGGTTTGAGCTGGGAACAGTCAAGGTCGCTAATGTCGCTTGGGTTTCAGTTGAATTCATCAAGACGATTACCTTTTGTTCCATCATTGATTACCGGCGACAGCGATGAAGAGCTCACACTTTACGACTTCGTGAAGAAGAAGAAGGCCGAAGCCGAGAAAGATAAGGTTCCTGAACCAGCTCCTCCCTTGATGAAGAGTAAGGCTAAGTCTAAGCCCAGCAAGCCTGATGCCGGGCGGAAGCCTGAGCCCGAGCCTGAGAAGGGTGCAGACATGTCTGATCTTTTTGATATTGAGGAGCATTTTGATGAAGCCGGGGAGTTGAAAAGTGCCGAGGATCAGCCACCTCCTCCTCCTGTTCCCGCTGAGGCAGATAAGCGTTCTAAAGGAGAGAAGGTTTTACGTGAAGAAGCTAAGAGCAAGCATCATCTGATGACACACGTCCCAAAGAATCCCTTTTGCCCTACATGCCAAAGAGCGAAGATGTTCAAGCCGCCTTCGTATCAAACGAATGGTTCCAGGTTCATTGAGTCTGAGAAATTCGGCGACCATCTCACTGGGGAACATCTCATTGTCTATCGCGACAACGAAGAAGAGATTAGGGATTCGCGACTAGCTTTGGTTATGAAGGACGTGGCAACGGGTTTCCTCGCGGCCTATCCCTCTGGACGGAAGTCTCAGGACGAGTGCTACAAGGCGCTCAATCATTTTGTTGCTAACAATGAAGATGTTGGCATGGACTACAGTGACAACGCTCCTGAAATCAATGGGGCAGTAGAAGAAATGGGCTGGAAGCATGAACATTCTAAGGCCTATATCCATCAGTCCAATGCCATGGCTGAGCGTGCAATCAGGACTGTTACGGAAGGCACCAGAGCGAATCTGGAGCAAGCTGGTCTGGCTCATGCTTATTGGCCTCATGCCTTACAACATGCTTGTGTTGCCCATAACATAAGCCATCCCAATGGTACGAAGTACTCTTCATGGACTTTGCGGTTCGGCAAGGACTTTCATGGACCGTTGATTCCATTTGGTTGCCGAGTAGACTACTGGGTCGGCACTCGAGAACAGCGGAAGCTGCAATGGTACGAAAGATTTGAGAGTTCATCAGAACATGGGATCTTCATGGGTTATCACTTCCAACCAGGAATGCGTTGGCGTGAAGAGATGTTGGTAACTCCGATATCTAAGCTGAATGGAAGTGACTTCTACGAGTACCACAAGCCTATTAAGGTGCATCAATTGAAAGTGCCTGACGGTGAGTTCACTTTCCCCATGGTCGAACGTTATAACCGTGTCCGAGACGGGCTAGCGCATGACGCCATTGAAAAGCCTGTCGTTGAATCTCTGAGAAATCAGGATGCGGAACCAGTCGTAGATCCTCCTGGGGACGGTGAGGCCGAAGTAGAAGTACCTAAAGTTATTGATCCCAAATCAGGTGACCTCGTTGAGTTGCCCGAAGGCGGACGCTTCTATGACTCCGGTGGAACTCTTGGTAGGAGATATGGAGGATCCAGAGGTTCAAAGAAGCCGGATAGCATTCCTTCTCAATTTGTCCAAGAGGCAGAAAGATAAGGCGATAGCGGAAGAAGCATCGAAGATCGCTAGGGAATATCATGAAGGTGCCGATCGAGCAGGTGGCGGATCATCGAGTTCAAGGCCTGCTGCGACGCTTGGTGCGTCCCGAGATCGATGGGAGATCAAGGGAAACAAGTTAGTGCGGTATCATTGTGTTCCTAGACGAGAACTTTTCTCCCCTGATATCACCGATTGTCCCATTCCCACTTCTAGGATAAAGCCGACAAGGATCTTGCAGATCATCCCCGTGGGAACGGAGGACACTGTTGCTGATGAAGATGATTGGACAAACCCGCGGAGAAGGAACAAGAAATTGCCTTTTAGATGGACCGGCAAAACCATCTTTGAGATCCTACCCTTGGGTACTAGCAGTGCTCATATCGTGGGGGAACCCTATCCGACTATGCCAACTATCCCACGTAGTGGGGAACATCGCGAAAAGATTGGTAATGACCATCAATTCACCCAATCTGAGCTGGAAGTTATGATGGCCTTAGTGGCTCGTCCGGTTGGCAAGAAGGAGCTCGCGGAGAACAGTGATGCCCAGAAATCACTTGATGTGGAATGGGATAAGTTGATGCAAAAGCGAGCATGGGATATGGATAACCCACGGGAGTGGTCAGAGATCTCGGCGGAAGCCGTTAGACGGGGTCGCAAGGCCCATGTTGGACGTGTTTTCGAAATCTGTGTAGAGAAAGGGAGCGAACTCCCCAAAGGAAATCCCCTGAGGAAATTCAAAGGCCGAACGGTCTTCCAGGGTAATAATGTCCAGGACGAAAGCAGCAACGCCGCCCTGTTCTCGGAGTTAGGTTCGAGCCCTGCTTCGATGGAGGCTGGCAAGGTGCTGGATACGTACGGATCTCAGCCAGGTTTCGCCTGTGAACAGGCCGACGGTAAGCAAGCTTACACTCAGACGACTTTGAAAGGCGCTGAAACTTGGGTTCGATTACCAAGGGAGCGGTGGCCTAAGTCCTGGGTTGGCAAGTTCAAGGATCCAGTAGTTCGGCTTTTCCTTGCGCTGTACGGACACCCTGATTCGGGGGGCTTCTGGGAGAAGCATTGTGAGCAGAGACTCAAACAAGTGGGTTTTGATCTTCTGTTTCCCTCTTCATGGCCTTCGGTTTTCTTTCATCCTAAGCTTCGCCTACTCTTAGCCGTCTATGCCGATGATTTCAAGATGGCTGGACCTGTTGAGAATATGCAGGAAGGGTGGAAGCTGATCGGGTGCAAGATCGACATGGATAGCCCGACTCCACTTGGAAGATACCTTGGGTGTGAACATGTAGAGAAGAAGAAAGTTCAACTGGGAACAGCTGACCATCCCTTTGCCCACATCTTTGATAAGAGCATTCCTGACCCCGCGGCCAAACCTTCGGTTCCGGCTACATCCCAGGATTATACGGAGTACTTTCCTGATGAAGGTGTTATTGTTCGCCATCATATGCAGCCTCGCAAAGCTAAGTATGCTGTTAGCGCTGCGGAAGCAGACGTCTTGAACATCGGCGATCTGCGGTTGACCGAGCGTCAGCTTCTTGGAAGTACTTCTGCAGAAGAACAATGGGATGATGGTTTCCGGGGTGGTAAGGCTTCGGGACTTTGGACGGGAACCACTTATTTGTTTGATCGTGGTATTGACAAGCATCATGCCGTGGCTGCTGTTAAGCGCATTCGTGACAAGAACACAGCTAAAAAGGAAGCTAGGAAACAGGCTTTCTATGACATCAGCCAGTTGTCTAGTGGTACCGGATGCATGAAACAACCCGTCAACATCATCGAGTATGACATGAAGTCTTTTCTTGAACAAGCTGTACAAAAGTACAAAGACCTTGCTGGCCCCAAGTACCACACCCTCAAATCGGCCTCTACTCCATTCGCCGACGAGAAGATCGCGAGGCCCATCGATGATGAGGCCGAGGCAAAGGGTGAATTGGCTCCTATCGCTAGCCGAGTTCTGATGAAACTTTTGTTTGCTGCCAGGATGGCTCGTTATGATCTTTTGCGGGCTGTTCAGGGATTGGCTAGCAGAGTTACCAAGTGGTCTGCTGAATGTGACCGGGCTTTACACCGATTGATGTGTTATGTGAACTCCACCCTAGACTTGAAGTTGAGGGGATTCATCGGTGACCCGATTGACCAGTGCAAAATATGGTTGTTTGCCGATGCAGATCACGCAGGTGAGCATGATAACAAGAGTACATCAGGATGCTTCGAGGCTTTGGTCGGACCAAACACGTACTTTCCTTTGGCGGCTTACAGCAAGAAGCAAACCTCAATTTCTATTAGTTCTACCGAGTCCGAGGTTGTGTGCGCCAATATAGCTTTGAGGACTGTTGGTTTGCCATCCTCCGCTTTGTGGAGTGTGCTCCTGAAGGCAGGGGGGGGTTCAGACGCATCAAAGCCGTGCGCACCCCGGAAGGGAGATGCCTGTTTGGCCAAATTCCCAGATCAGGATGTTGCTTCTCAGGTACCGAAGACTGGTAGACACGAACTTATTGATTGTCGAGTAGCTGTTCTTTCAGGCGGTGACAGCATCCCTGAACCCGTTGAGCTCGCATCCCATCCTCTTCGAGATGTATGGCTGCTCCGGGGGGACAAATGGTCCAGAACAGAAGAAGCTGTTGCTTGGGAAGAGCTCGAGAATGCCTCCTATATGGTTCCGAAGGATGCTAAAGTCATCTTGTGCCTGTACCGGAAGTCATCATTGGAGTATCGTCGCTCTGCGGAAGCAGAAGCCGAATTGAATTATGAGGCTTACAAGCTCCGTCATGGACTTGGCGACTTCGAGTACACCGATGATGCAAAGATCAGATCCGATCATTCATTGATCATGGCTGCACCACATTGCATGCAACCTGTGATGTTGGAAGATAACCAGGCCACTATTAGGATCATGGAGTCCGGAAGGTCACCGGCATTTAGGCACACAGACAAAACCCAAAGAATCAACCTCGGATGGGTATCGGAACAATTCAGAAGGAAGCATTATGATCTCGCGTACATTAGTACCTTGTTGCAGTCTGCCGACATTTTGACTAAGCCATTTACCAACATTGACAAATGGAAGAGAGCGGTTTTCCTCATTGGCCATGTCTATGTCAAACCATCAAGGCCTGCTTCGCCAATCGTCGTGCCGGACAACCTCGGGAAGAGGATCGAGCCCGAGAACAACGGGGTTCTCATTGAATGGGGACATGATCCGTCGTTCTCTCTGCTCGGAAGGGCAGACGATAGTGGTAGCGGTAGCCCATCTGTCGTTCGGGTCACTCATAGCATGGACCTTAACAGTACTCAGACGAGTAGGGACTTGCTCAAGGTTGCCAAAGGCTATGCCAAGTCGAATGTTCCCGTTACCGTTTGGGTTGACCTGCGCTTTGCGGGGGGTCCTGATGACCGCAAACACTTTGGCAAGCTATGGTCTTCTTTCGTCAACTTAAGCACCGGATTGGATTTGAATAACTGTCGTTACGTCGTGATTGCTCCCTGGGATCATTTCTCATGGAAGATGGATCGAGTTATCAAGTGGTGTTCCAATCATGAGTGTACGAGTTTTGAACTTCTTGATGGCGAAAGATCAGGCAGTTTAGGTCATTGGAGATTGCATACTTCCTACAAGAATTTGCCAATTGATGTGATGAACAATTTTCATGGCTGTAAGCTCAAGAACATTTCAGAGCCACAATTTCCTGTTCGACAAGCTGCTGTTGCGGTACAAGTTACTCTGAGCGAAGATCCTATAGGAAGCGCAGCAGTGATGGCATCCTCTTTGCCCACCGTTTCTCTGGAGGAGCGTCGCCGACGCATCGAGGCTTTCCGCAGGGCTCTTAAGGACCCTGATTGCCTCGCGGAAGCGATGGCCTTTGAGGAACCGGCATATTTTAAGGATGCCTATGGCGTCGTGAAGGAGGCGTACCAGTACATGCTGGTGGAGCCTGTGGAGTCTGATCCGCCAGAGGCCATTTTCCTCGGCCGTATCCGAAACGGCGAGTGGATTGGTCTGCGGAAGCAGTACCCCTACGCAGGCTTCCCCCTCCTGTACGAGATGTGGCACCGCCATTTCAACAGCCCGGCACATCAGGGAATGCCGATTGAGGGCTTCGAGCTCCACGGCGATTCCCTCCTGACGGAGTGGACAGAACTTGTCAAGGCTTATCTCCGCGACCTGGCTTATGTGGGGCATGCCACAAACGCCGAACGGGCTCTCAAGGCCACTGAGCCGTTTGATGTCTGTCACAGAGCGTATGTGCTATCCCAGGAAACCCTGGGCTACCACGAACTAATGCCAGCTGCCACGGCGTTGCTAGACTCGGTGTATACTCCAGCCCTTCGCAGAATCGAACATCAAGAGCAACCAAGCTCGTATTTCATTATCGGAGGAGATAGCTCTCTCGCCTTGGTGACCCGCGGCGACGGTGGACGCGTCCTGATGAAAGGGACGATGGAACCGTCACTCCGGGAGGAGATGACCAAGGACCTCCGCATGGATGGATGCTCGGTCGTCATGCGCTGGGGAAAAGGACTTGGAGACATCGTGTGGCACGTGGAACAAGAGCTCAACCGAGTCCAGAAGTGGAAGAACGGCCAGGAACCGCTCGCACCGGAAGGTGTCGACATTATCATTCAATGGGGTGGTAATGACGTCTATGGCGAGTACGGTTACAAAGGCTTTTCCTTCCACATGCGCAATGCGTGGGTTCGTGTTGATGATGCATTGCATGACACCCTTTCCAATTGGGAGACCAAGGCACGCAAAGCCGTCGAGGACGCGAAAGATGCCCTGGTTCGTCTCTCATCTTGGAAGGGAGTATCCTCTGTCACGCTGGTGGCTGGCCCCCACAACGGGGAATTCTATGGTCTCCCGGAGGTCTATGACCTGGAGATGGCACGCCATTCCGACGAGGTGAAAGAGCGAGGGATCCGCATTGTCGATCCCCAGGCCCACATCCTTGCTACAGAGCGCTACGATGGGTTTCACATGGAGGCTACCCACGACAACGTGAAGGTTACCACCAGCTGGTTCTTTCACCTTTGCTCTGCAATCATGTTCGAGCGGTGGCTTGTGAAGCACGCAATGGAACTTAAGGCCAATTCGCGTGGCATCCTCTTTCACAACCACTTTCACCTCGGACTCGGCTTGGAAGAGCTCGACATCCCTCCTACCACGGACTTGCTCATTCCGGCGGAAGCTGAGATGGTGACTTTCCCACCTGAGGCACCGCCCGTGCAACGCTTCCCAGAGGAGGAGATTGTCTTGAACCAGCCGATCCTCAGCTTGGAAAAGCTTGACGAGCTTGAGGGTGTACCGCCCACTGACTATGTCAATGAAGTGACGAAAGAGTCAGAGGAGCTCACGGTCGAAGACATGGTGTCTCGTAACCCGAATCCGGAGGACGAGCACCTCACCGTGGAAGCGGTTGACCCCGGCTCGGAGATGGAACAAATCGTTCGGAAAATGATTGAGTCGGTGAACCTGGTGATGACGGATAAGGAGGCTGAAGAGGTCGCCCAGGAGACGAGTGTTGCTCCCTACGAGTATGTTGAGCCGAATGTCACAGCTACATCTGTCGTGGATGGTGAGGCAGTCTCTACGATTGCTACTTCCGATATCCCGACGGAGGTCTGGGACTCTGGTCCGATGGCTGTGGACTACGGCGCAGACGATGATGTGGAGCCTCCCCGCGGAAATGGTGGACCCATCTGGCTTACACCGGATCAGCTGCCTGATGTCAAGGGTCGCATGGGATACTTCCGCCTCAATGAGATGGAGTGTGTTTCGTTGGGCAAGAAGCTGTCGTGGCACTTGCGTGGGCATGCCAAGGACAAGGGATTCCGCACTGTTGAGTTCGATGAAGAGCAGTCTGCAGAGATTGGTGATGTCTTGAAGATCATTGGGAAGCAGTGGTCCCGCCTGACGGTGATGACCATCATTGACCTGTTGACGTCAGATCACTGTGACAAGGCACGGTTCGAACTCCAGGCGGAAGCCTTGGACGAGGAGACACGATTGGGCCGGGGAACAAACTGGCACTTTACTCGTGTCCGAGCATTCCACGGGCACAATGCCTGCTTGCTCGTCCTCGACAGCGACCCGCTGAAGACCACTGTCAAGCAGTGGGCCCTCGATGACAAATGGATCCCGTCCTATGTTGATCTACCGATCACGGGTCCATACCCTTTTAGGGCAACGGCCTTCGATCTGATGCCAAAGCTGGCGTATCACGCCACATACTGGCGAAATTTCATGAAGATCGTCAACACAGGCCTCATCCCGGGAGGGAAAATGACCTCGAAGGGCAACAGCGGGAGGCCCTTCAACATGTTCGCGATGGAGCCTCAGTGGGAACGCACCTCCAATCAGGGCGTCCGCCCTGGCGCCCAGCTGGAATTTGTGATAGACTTACAGCTCGCCGCATGCGATGGCTGTCGGTTTTTCGAGACAAAAGCTGGAGCGCTGCAGACGCCGGATTGGATCAGCAACCGGGCCATTCTGTATGCATATGACCGGTCGACTCAGGAAATGATCTGGGCGAACCGAGCATACGAACCAGCGCGGAAGCGCTTGGCCCAGGCGTGCAAAGACAAGAGCCTCAACACGCCCATTTATGGCGTGCGGGGTCACCAGGAGCTGGTCGATGCAAACGGCTATTGCTACAACTACCTCGTGGCAGGCCTTGGGTATCGCAACTTCGACACCTGGAAGGACGCCGCTAAGGCATGCAAGGATGTCTATGACCTTGATTTCTACCCAACAAGCATGTGTGGTCTAGACATTCGCATCCCGGAAGGGCATGCCTTGCAGGGCTCAGAGTCATTGTACAAAATGGTGGTTCACGTGGCTCCAAAGCATCCTCATCAAAAATGCAACGATGAGTCGGATTGGCGTCGCCAGGAGAATGTCAGCATTCCTTCTTTCGCTTGCCCGAGCTGCGGTACATCCAACGTCGATGGTGCAATCATGTGAGTCTCGATTGGAACCGCACCCAGATGTGAGCATGGCCTTGGAGAACACCCGTGCCAAGCAAGTTGCCGCCCGGAAGGGTGAGCCCCTGGATTACAGGGCATTGCAACCGAGCGGGGAGGTCAACTCCAATCGTGCCACGGGCAACAAGAGGGATCGGAGTGCTGGCTCTGGCCCAGCAGCTGTTCGTCAGCAGGCCGCTAAGTACCTCGGAAAGGCCTTGAAGGCGGGTTCTCGCACTGTTGTTGAGCGTCAGTCTCGTGATCCGTTCACGGCCTACAACAATGCAAGATTTGGCATATCCATTACGGGGCTGGAGCAACTCATGATTTTCGCCCGAATGAGGATCGCCAGCCCGCCGAGGTCCCGCCAGATGATCCATGACCGCACTGGCTTTGACGGAGCAGCCAAGGTGAGCTTCTCATTCCCACCGGAAGGTGAGGACCTGACACTTACGGACCACTGCTTTGTGGCGTTCGTGGACAGGTTCTACAAGCTTGACGAAGCCGCCTTGTTAGCGTTTGCCGTCCATCGCAACGGCTACGTCATGGACATTCTGGGCTTTAGTGGTCGCACATTGAAGCCGACCGGCCCAGTGGTGCAGATCTTGGCTAGGATTGTGGGATTCTTCCAAGATGAGGTACGGTATGCAGTGGAGCGCGGCGAACAAGTGCCTGAGTTGGTTTTGCCTGCCAATCAGGAACTCCGCGTCCCGGAAGGGCTCGCCTCTCTTGGGGATAGACAGCTGAACGAGCTTCTCATCAACACGAAGTTCGCGAGACAGCTTCCCGGCGCCAAGGGCGTCAATGAGAGGATCGGGTATGCCTTCAGAGAAGGGAGGACGGAGATCAGAGGCAGATCAGCTCAGCCGGATTCCAAAGGCGAGGCCAACAACCAGAGCTACCGGCAGTGCACAGCGAGCTGGCTCAGTTCCTCCAAAGCCAAGAGCACGCCCTCGCGACCCTTCCCCGGGAGTGGCAGCTACCCGCCTGCGGCCAACAGAGCCCAGCTATCCGCCACCCGGAAGGGATGTGCCAGGATCGTCAACGGATGCGCCGATGCGTCCGCCCGAGCCAAAGGGGCCTCCACCAACGACCTTGGTTGTCGATTCAAGGGGGAACCCTATTGACCCATCGCAGCCTCGCCGACCTTACTTCACCCGGCATGATGCGCTGCTTTGGGCTCGCCTCAAGGCATCTCGGGACAAGAACGTTCCCAGAGGCATGGAAGATCGTGCAGTACTAGCATTTCATGATTTGAATGACTTCCACCTCCTGGCACCGGAGCACGTGGGCTACTTTCTCTCTGGCTGGAAAGAGACCCAAAACGGGATCCGCCTGTACTGACTGCCGCGTCTTGTGCAGTACAGTAGCAGCTAATTAGTATTTTCGGTTCGTCGTGTTGTTTTCTCCACCCTGACGGGTCGGACATGTAAGAGTAGTTTATCTGCTCCATGTCCATTGTTCTGCCTCCCTGACGGGACGGCCTATGTAAAGGGCCGGAACTGATGGGACATGGCACGTCAGGAGTGTTGAGATCTCTCTAAGAGCTTATATAGTTGCACCTAAGGTGTAAAAATCAGCCTTCTTTTGCATTCGCAACATGTTGGTAGCATACTGTACTTCTACTTTCGCCTCTCTTCGCTGCCCTAAGAGGCGCGGGGGGTGTTTTATTGCTCTTTGTACGTATGACTACGGACATATTGTTGCTTGGCTCAAGACAAAAAGTGTGTGTGCGATTCGTGCTATCGTGCACTATCTATACAGTTCGGCAGAGACGATACTGAACTACCAGCTCGCAGAGTGCAGTTCCAGAATGTTTTCACTCCGCTCTTCGGCGAGCAGAACATATCCGATGTCCCAAGAACTCCAAGCTGGGAGAGCTGCAGGGTTTGGCAAGAAGCAAGAGATCCCGGATTCCAGGAACTTGAGCAGCTAAACTTGAGGCCGCTGCTTGAAGTCTATATAAACGGCGCCATTTTACAAAGCCGGCAAGGGCATCCCCTTGGAGCCTTGGTTTTCACAATAATAAATGGGGTGACAATAATGAACTCCTCCGGGGCGGGGCTCCCGATCAGAAGCCTTGCTTTTGGGAAGGCTATGAAGCAATTGCCTTTTGGCAAGAAGCCGCCGGCTCTGGTATTCGAGAGCTGCAGGCTTTGTAAGAAGCCACAGGAACAGCAGCAGCTAAACTTGAGGCCGCTGCCTGATTCGAAGTCTATATAAACGGAGCCTTGTGACAAAGCCGGCAAGGGTATCCCTTTGGAACCTTATTGGTATTGCTACTGATCATTACTATGACTTTATGATTATTAGTAAACTAGTACTACCATTTCTTCCACCTACTACTACTACTACTACTACTACTACTACTACTACTACTACTACTACTACTACTACTACTACTACTACTACTACTACTACTACTACTACTACTACTACTACTACTAAGCATCTCGGCTCGCTACACCACGCCCGGGGGTGGTTTTCGTTTCGTCTTCCCTCCAGTGGCCTATCGGTCTATCCCTGCCCCCCCCCCCCCCCTACCCCTCTTTCACACCCTCTGCATTCAGGGAGTTAAGGGACACATGTCGATATGGCAATGGCTCTGTGTCCTCCTCACGGTACAAACAAGATCCCAAAAAGGGCACACTGGTGGAAAGAGGAAACCTCAAATGAATTCCACATCAGACAGCTGTCCATAGAGTATCTTTTCCTGGCCATGCGACCTCTACCATTCAGTTCTAGAATCGGCTTGTAGAATCTATATGGCAGCTCGTGGCTACGGACCTCCTCTTTCTGCATCTGGCAAGAAACCTGGACATGGCTGTCTCCCACACAAAGAGTGGACTTCTTGGACCGAACTTATAGGGTTGACCCTGTTTTCGCTGCCAGTGCTCTCGATGCTGCCTACGCTTCGCGCTTATGCAGAGCAGCTGACCTCAATGCCCTGGACTGAACCCGTACCGTCCCCGTACAGGACCGGCCACGGAAATTTCAGCAAGCACTCGAGGCATGAATGGTGGACATCGAACTGGAATGGACAGGCGCCCCGTCAGGGGCGAGCTCGACTCAGGTTGTCTCGCGGTCTGAGGATGATGGGCCTCGGCATGCTACTGTGCCTTGCAACGCTGGACAAGGATCTGGCCACTGCCGCGGACCCAGGATGCACCTATTCAGGTCTCAACTCTTCAGCCGGTTATGCCTGTCCTCTGAGCCCAAGCCTCAAGCTGACTCTAGGAGTGATGAACAGGTCTAGCTGCCCACTCAGGAGGTTCCCCTCCGATTCCATACCCACCAGTCTCACAACAAACCACAGTGTGAGCATGAGGCCCGATGCCTGGAAGCTCTCAGTGAATCTGGAGGCCGCCATAGGCAGCAGGGGTCCTCGTAGCACTTCTGCGAGAATTGCCTCTGCCACACCCATAGGTGCTTGTGTGTTTCCAGACTGGAGGTTTCCCCCTCCGCCCTCGGCATACCTGTGGCTATATAGGGCATTCACTATACCTCACCAGTGCTGCCTCCTACGGAGGTTCCCCTCCGGCCCTGTCTTTATACTGCCACTGCTGCGGCCAGGTCTGAACGGCGCCCACAGCACACCGCTGCAGCTGACTACGGGGTGCAGTGCAGGACCGAGCAATGCATGGTCCGTTCCTGCCAATCTTGCAGCGGTCAGTGGTATCAATCCAGAACCCCTACCATTAGCTGCAACCCCTAGCTTCTTGGGCAATGATGCAGGCAGAATCCCAACACACTTGCATAAATCTGCAGCACCTCTTGCTCAGAAGTCTGCTGAGCTCTGCAATGGCATACTAGTCCTGCAAGGCGGCTGTTTCTCTGTCATGCCACGGGAGAAAACCCAGCGGGATTACGAGCGCGAAGCTCGACGACCAGACAAACGCAACGGAGCGCTGCTCAAGGCCCGCCAGGAAGCAGGTGATGACGACGACCCTCCGGCTGATCGGCCTACGGAGGTTGCATCCTCGGCACTCAGACCGGCCGTACCTTCTGGACCTCCTTTGACGGTGTTCTCTATGGCAAGAGGCCGCCGCAACTCCACTAGGAGAACACCACCACCACCACCACGTGCTCCGGTTCGAAGACGAGATCGGGAGGCAACCCAGGAGGCATCTGCTGAGCAAACCAGCATGGCAGAAGATGAGATGGTCACGGTGGAGCTAGAACTGGAGACGGAACCGGACACCGCAGATGCTGCTCCTTCGGAAAGGGACATACCAGATCCCATGACGCCGCCACTAGCATCGCCTGAACATGTCCCGCCGAGAACTCCGACCCCTACCTCCCCGGTGGAAAGCACTCAAGCAGAGACCTCAGCTGTGGGGGCTGCTCAGCAGCAAGATGGGGAGTCGGTGATGGATCGACCCTTCACCCTCATGCCTCCCAAGCCAAAGGTCAAAGCCAAGCCACTATCACCGCGGTATGCTCCACCTGTTGAACCACCGGACCTTGGCAATGCTCAGCCATCTGCAGATGCCTCTCGACCGGAGACAGTCAAACGCAGCAAGATGCCGAAAGGTTCGATCGGGAGACTTCTGCAAGCACGCGCAGCAGCCAGACTCCGGACATCCCAGACCCAGGCCTCGGGCACCTCCTCTACGGCTCCCTCTACAGCAGTCAAGCCCAGACCGAAACGACGGAATCTGCCAGCTCAGGAACAGATGGAACTGAGGGACCCGCCGAGGACTATTCCTCCGGACCTGGAGGTTGTGCTGCCCACGCCCTCCGCTTCCACACCTGGGGACGTGGAGTTTGTGCAGGTCGGCAAGATGACCCAGACAGAGGATAGAAACAGCTCTGGTTCAGGACAGTGGTATATCACCACGCCAGCTCGCCCTGAACCGGTTCCGGTGCTGGACATGCCAGCATGGCTTCGTCAAGTTTTGACCCAGAGACCAGAGGAGCCGGCTCCACCTCCGCCTAGGAAACGTGCCAAAAGCAGCACGACAGAAGGATCGACTGCCGCTGCTCCGAAGCCAGTTCGAGATTACATGCAGGCTCAGCAGTTTGTGCAGTTGCCATGGACTGTCGATACCTCCCCCTTGTAGCACCTCACCCTCTGCATCTGCCTCCACCTCTTTCAATGTGCAGGAGCCGAGAGGTGCTCACGTGGCAGGGAGGCTCAGATACTCTGCCCAGCCAGGCTCTGCATGCATTAAGCAACTTGATGGCGAGATCTCACAAGGGCAGGGTTGAGCAGTTGCTCCCACATCAAAACCCCAACCTGGCCAAGCTTCACCACAGGCGACAGATTAGACTGCTGGAGGTTCTCCCCTTCCTCCACCCCTGGCACCACCACAGGATGACTGTGTTAGTCAGTATTCTCTTCCTGGGAGTCCCCGCCTCTATGCCCCCTGGTCGCTCCTCTACCCAGCTTGTACCGCCGACACTGCTGAGGTTGGACCGGGACAGGCACTGGCCGTGCTACGATGTGCCCAAGCCCAGGACTGATGCACTCTTGCAGGGATCAGTCACAGAGGTTAGCATTCACAGCCTCTCAACTCCTCCCATTGAATGCCAGACCTCTTGGTCCAAGAGTACCCTCTTGCTCTCCTTTGTAAGAGTGGCCATGAGCGCAGCCCTCGGATGACTCTGATCTCTTCGGATCAGAAGCAGACTCTGACTTGGGCTCACTACAGCACTGGCTGGAGGGCGAATTCTCAGACCCCTCAGACCCTCCTGCCTCTCTTGGTGCGGACAGACCGTCTCCAGCGACTCTCACTGCGACAGATCAAATGGCGACCCGGGTGCCAGGCACGCCTATTGGGGCATTACTTCAACGTGTACCACGACCACGGGCAGACTCAGATGACCCAATGACTCCGCCACCACACAACCCCGCGCTGATCGGCACAGGTACCCCACTGGAGGCTTTTAGGCCACAAGGACCTCTCCCCCTATGGCAGCCATCGGCATGGTCGAGAAACAACAGTCGCAACCGGATGCCCACAATCCCAAGGCCGAGTCAAGCTCCGCATCTGAGGATGACAGACCCTAGCTCCAGCTCAGTCACCAATCCGATGCAATCAGCTACCAATGCAGGTTCTGAGACAGAGGCTGAATTACCTTCTGCTCACTCCGGGGAGATATTCGAGGCCGCCTCAGTTTCTTCAAGTGCAGCAGAAGTACCCTCAGGATCACCCGGACTCCTCTGGGAAGATTGCTTGGATCTGGACTTGATGCCCCAACCGGGTACGGAGCCTGCTAGCTCCTCTGCAGGCAGCTCTGGACCACAGCTCCAGCCGGAGCTCCGGCAGCGACGACGAGCATGTGCTAAAATGCTCGTCAGGTCGGGCCACCGATGCCCGACTTGTTTTGCTACCATAGTG